GGAACAGGGGCGAGGTAGGCCACGCGCTCCACACGCGTGCTGGGCGGGGCGGGCGGAACAGGGGCGAGGTAGGCCACGCGTGTCTGGCGTGGTGGTGCGGTGAGGTCTCGCCAGACGGTGAGCCGGGCTGCGTCCTAGCCAACCCCTTGCACTCCGTGCGCCTGCCTCACCAGTCTCCTCCGCCAGCCTCGTCTCGACACGATTTATGGCACTTCGCCGTCGTTGGCCTCGAAGCAACGCCCTCACCCTGTTGGATCGGCCGCCCGTGACGTCAAAGGACGCCCGCCTTGATAAGGAGTCGTATATATTTCCAGCTCCGAGCAGACAGCTCCTTCTCGCGAGCGCCACCCGCTCTCTATGCTGGTCCACGGGATCTAATCCTCTTCCCAGCCACGCCTGCCTCTTTTTCTTTGCAGTGTTTAACCCCTGCGATGAGCCAATGGACTTGAATAACCCGAAAACCCAGTGAGAGTACTTTTGCTTCAGGAGTCGCGGTGGCAATCTCACAGTGTTCGTGTTCAGGTTTTGGGTCCTCCCTCCCCCCTCACAAACGAGGTGCTGACTGTCTCCTCCCAGCCAATGCCGCCGCCCCACCGTGGCTGCAAGACGTGGGTCTTGACTCTGGCGGCGGCGCTCTTGTTAAAGGTTCAATCATTTACTTCGGGCCCTTCCCTGCACGACAGTGCCCCTGGCCGGCCGGCGCGGCCACCTCCCCCTCCCCCCGACCGGCCAGGACACCGGAACAAACTAGAATACGCCGGATCGACGGACTAGCCCCTTCCCTCCCCTCCCTAGGCCTAGGCCACCCCGCCGCCTCCCCCCTTCCCTCCTGCGCACTCGAGGCTAGCGCGCCGGCCTAGAGCGGCGCAGAGCCGAGCGCCCGCTTCGGCCCGGAGCCGTCCTGTCACCGGCGCCCAACCCGGCTCCCGCTCTGTGCGGCAATGACCCCCACCCAGCCGGCAGGCTCGGAGGACTAGGGCAGAGCACGGACTAACAAAACTTAGCCAAGCAATCGAGTCCTTTTAATGAGAACCAACTAGAGTTGTACATCAGGGCCAAAATTTACAGCATTGGTTTTCCATTTACAGCACTTGCTCGCTCGGTGAACTTTTCTTGGGATACATTTCAATTTTTTGGAGAGCTACACAGTTTTATCGAGAGCTTACAACAGTCAACTTGTGTCGCAAATATGCAAGAATGTGCAATTCTATACAAAAATAGAAATATCAAGCTGAACATTGACAGCTCAACACACATACAAATGGTATAAAAGGTAAAAGTCAGCCAATATTCAGAAAGATCAAGCAGGGAGCAAGAGAGCAGCAGAATGTCACCTGACAGACCTTAACTAACACCAGTTATCTGGAAGACGTAACTTCAGTTTAATTAATACAATTCAAATACATTTCAAACAAAGACTAATTCATTGATGTTTAGCACCAGTAATTTTGATCTAGCCACAAATCTACAAAGTTCTGATTTCGCTTCCCACATTGTAAAAGTTTTTCCACTGGCTACACATCATATATGAAGATAAAACAAAATACAATTCATAGAAATTTTGAGTTAAAATGGTGACTTGATACAATAACCTGTTTGAGATCTAGAAAAAAACAGCAGAGATTCAAAAAGAACATATTCCAAACACAATGTACCAGAACAAGGTAAAAACAATACCTGATTTATTTGGAGAAAGGGGAAAACTTTGAGGACCACCTGTGATTGAAGGAAAACTCCTTCTATCATGAGGAAGTTTTCTAAAAATTCAGAAAAATTCCCTCAGTTTTGGGGAATTTCTCAACGCTTGCCCTATTTTTTTGATTTTTAAAATTGACCTAAAAATGCATGTCCTATTATTAGTTGTGTCTAATTAACTTGTTCCCGCAAGAGAGATACAGTTTGTTTAACAACAAAGTATAAAATGACAATAGGCATTTTGAAATGTATGCAAGGAAACTGACTGACAAGTTTTCAGACTGACAGAAAAAGAAAATATCCTAAAACAGGTGATGACATTTTTAATGAAAACGCCTGGTTGGAGTGTTTTATGAAGGCAGAAAAATTGAGAGAGAGATGAAGATAGTGATGGAGAAAAACAAATTTTGAAGTAAAATAAAACACTTCAAACAACAGTATCTTACACAAGAGAATTCCAAAACTAAAGTATGACTTGAATGGTTGGATTTGATCCCAGAAAAGATTTCACAATCCCTTCACATCCATCAAAAACTAAGGAAATCCATTGAAACTGCTTTTTTGAGAGTCAATCTTGTTATCAAATATAATTTATGGCTTATATGAAGCCTTCAGAGGTAACTCTTTAAGCTACATAAACTTCAATACTTATACAACAACTACATTAAGTCTCCTATCAGTCTTTACAAAAATTATAAAAGAATCACAAGTGATGGCATTAGTTACCGTAATGCTTGTAAAACAAAACATGTATTCTATAATGGTGAGTGTAATATCACAAAAAAAACAAACAGCGATACATTTAAACATATAAAGGCGCAAGCCATGAAAAAAATATGAAAGACAATACTTCTGATGTAAACACACCACAATCTAAAGCAACGTGAATTGAAACTGTGCTGAGCAGCCTTACCATATCTTTAACAGAACTTTCAAAGAATCAACAATAAATTATTAATGTGTTAGTAACTAAGTGAAACTAAAACTATACAGTCTATGTCACTTTCAAACATACAAAGTGATTTCATTTTATCTTTAACAATAAATATAACCAACTTGTTTGATTTAACAGGCACCTATTAAATAACTGGCATGGTTTTGCTGACTATGCACAAGCAAGAAAACGTCTCCCTCTATATAAAGGGAAAGCAATAAAAGTACACCAAACCATTACTGCCTTCTGACATGATAGGCAGAACTTGGTTTAAGAACATGAGTTTAATCAAATGGCCACCATGTCATAAATTTGTTGGAAAATTGCTTTACAATACCAACATATATAAGATCCACAAATCTAGCTGCCACTTCAAATACTATAGTATACAAGGCCCTCAAACCAAAATAGGACACTGTAGTGTCAATGCATTTAAAGACAATAGTAAAATTACATGAACTAGAGTATAATAATATTGATCTGGCAAGCCATACACATAAGAGATAACACTACAAAACACATTAAAAAGTTCTCACGAGAAAAATTAGCATCTGTGCTAATTTCTAAAACAGTCAAACTCAACTAAAATAATACTCTAGAGAGATGTGACATAGTTCAATGAGTATAGAATATACTCCAAATCATAACTGCAACATAACATAAAGGAAAAGTCAAACGATGTCAAGGAGCGAGAGAGAATGAATAGCAATTTTCCAGCCAAACTGTGCTATACTCAAAATAATATTACTCATCATTCCATGGTCCCGGGGACATTTAGATGTATAATTGAGATTGAAGCTGTTTCTAACTTGGCTTGCTGGTTTCCAACTAGAAAATATATGTGCCTGTGCCTACCTGCTTGGTAGTCTCAAAATTTAAGAAAGAACCAAGAGGTCTAAAAAGTTACACTTAGACTAAGATTCTTTTTGGTAACATCTATTGAGTTTTACATCTCTGAGAAGAGATCAAATAATTTCAAAGCTCAGTTAAACAAAGGTAGATGGTAAAAATCGAACCCTCTCTTTCCTTTCACAGCAAGGTATATGTAAACAACATGATATGCTCCAGGAATGAAACAAATAAATCCAGCAACGAAGAAAACAAACCCTTGGAGTCCTGTGTCAGGCGAGAAAGTTACAACCATAGCTGTGGTAAGGAGGCCTGGGAATAATTAAAAAGATTGCTTTAAATTTTTTCAGTCCATTACAAATTTAAATAAAACAAAGCAACTTGAGAATTTCTGTATAGTATACGTACCGATCCCGATTATAAGAAGCATTGTAGCAGCAAGTACCATTTTCCAATTTTCACGCACTTTAGGATGGTGCCAACAAGATTGAGAGGTGTCAAATTTGGTGGAGTAGCAGCTCCCTCCATCCTGAAGTAGTGAATCACTGTCTCGAGATGTTGTCTGAAAAGAAAATGTTACAAAATATAAGGCTCTTGGAAATAACCTTTCTCCAAATGTGAGCCACAGCAAGCAATTTTATATGAATTAGCAAAACAACGTCAAAAACGTAGAATTTATTAAAGACAGTGAGTATTTTTCATTGTTAAAGTGGTAGTTGCAGTAGAAGTTTACAAAACAACTGTTGACAATCTTATCAGTGGGGCTACTGGAGAGGTTAGGTGCGGCCTTTGAGGCGAGAAGCCTAGACACACCCTGACATTTGATTATCAAAAGGATTCGAGTTGTCAAGTTAAAATTTGTCTTACATCGTCTCCAAACTTCAGTCTGGGCTGGGGAATGGCAATGGGCATTCTTTCAGGTTCTTCTATTCGTACTAGAACATCTTCGGTCGCAAAATTCCGGTTTTTGGGCTTTAGAGGCGACCTTTCCGTTGTTGAGCCGTACACACGTATCATTTCCTCATTGTCCTCTTCGAATGCGTCGTCTATAGAAAATTGTTTGCCGTGAGAGCCAAAGAGACCAGCCATTTTCCCCAAAAATATTTCTTCCAGGTAAAATTGAATAGGCTCTAGCAGAACACAAGACGTCACGTCACGTATGGCGTGCGCCGTATTGAAAACTCCACTCCCCTTACCCCCTCCCCCCTCCGCACTCTACGAGCGTCGTGTCTTCTGCTTGGCGACCATGATCCCCCCCCCCCTCTCTTTCAGGAGTATCTCCAGCTAGCGTGGTGTATCGCCATTGCGTCACATTCAAAGCGACTCCTGGGTCAGCAAAGACAATTTATTGCAGCCCCCATTCGAATTCTTCTATAGTTGGGCACGATTAAAGCGTCGAGCTTAATGAGAGTATCCGTTGTCCTGTTCTAACTTTTGACGTATGCCAGGTGGAAGCCGCGCACTTTCATAGTTTACCTCTCCAGGTTATGTACTTGTACCGCATGCACGCTTGCGGGCGGGTTGCCTACTCACACGGGGCAATACGAGCCTTGGGTAGCGATGATATGGACAAGCCCGCCCTCAGCCGTGCATGCGGTTGCAGTATAACTCCAAAAGTGCAGCCACCTGAAATGTCCGCGGGGAATTCCCTAGCGGTAGTTTCAGTAATTAGTTAATCCGAACTGGAGAGGAAAAAGCTGTGTCGTGTCTCAACAGTTCTTCCTGACCCCTGGCCTCCGCCCAACAAGACGTTGTGTTTTGTCGAAAATGGGGAACGAAGGGCAGAACATGTGAGTGCATAAAACGTTACACTCCCTAAAGTCTTCGAGTGCTTTTCGTACTTCTTTTCGGATAAATTTACGAAAACACATCTGGTAGGTTTGTGTTGTTCCGACATATTTTCCCCTTGGTCACCCCCCCCCTCTCCATGTCAGTACTTCCTCATTTTTGTCAATATAGGCCTTAGGACAGTGTGCTGTGCGGACTCTGGCGCCAAGGGCAGCCAAGCGCCTTTCGGATAGGCAACCTATTTGACTCCAGACGCGTCATCGGAAATGAAGGCGCCTCAGATTCGGATCCTAGGCTCGAAGGAGCGGGGAAGGCGGAGTGGTAAAAACAGAGGTTTATTACTAACAAACTAATTTATTT